CAATATATCAGGATATATCGTATCGTGACCCCTCTGTCATGATATGTATCGTATTGCCAAATTCTTGCCAATACACAGCCCTGGTCCATATATCTTGGAATTGGCCTTCATCTCTTTAAGAACCTACTACCATTACTGACAATCCCACTACAGCAGGTTGTCAAACAATGCTTCGGGGGAGGGGTGGGAGCTTGGCTTCAAACTGAGCTCCAGGGAGGAGCTTTGTGTAAATAGGTGGAGCTTTGTACCAGTAAGCATTTAGGCAGCTCCACATGGCTAACACAGGAGATTCAAGGATTTCTCAAACATGCATGAGTCAAAGCAACACTCTGGGTGTSTTTTTGTTGAGGGAATGACATTATAACATGATATAAAGCTCAAAAAGTTGATAATGCCTCACCTTTAAAAAAATGGGTTCATATCTGCTAGTCAAAGGCAGTTACTAATCAAAGGGGTCTACATGTTTATCCTGAACGTGTGGACTTCACATACGAATGGCAGTACTCACTCGCAAAGCAGGACTCCGTTCTCCAACGCTGCACGGAAATCACTGCAACCAAAGGATTTTCCTGTCACTTCCTAATAAGACAAAATAAAAYAACATTAATTTAATCCACTGACATGCAAACTGTCTAATTACTTTGTATACTGCATTTTGAAAAACTAAAGATTTTCATAACATTTCTTCAAAAAATCAAAACTAAACAGAAGTGACAACATGAACTGAACACCTCYCTCTGTCTTTATAAAATTGTAAAGATGGACAAAAAAAGAGGTAGTATTTAATCATTTCAATAAAACATTCAACTTAAACACAAAGCATGTAATACCAACAAAACTGACAAATTGAATTAGTAATATTTGGCTGTGTTTCAATAAAATCTGTCCAGCAGGTTATGAGAAATTTCGGTAAAAGACAAAAGCATTATTTTTGCTTCTTGTGTGCWGGTGATATTTATTAATAACACCTAATGACCTGAATCAGCCGTGGTTTTACAGTTTATACAAGTAGCATCAGGCTACAGTGTGGATCTGAAAGAGTCATATTTACTGTTAATAGGATGCAAACATATCCAAGGCTGAGGTAAATGAGAATAATCAAGTCCGCAATGACTACATTTTTGTATGAAATTATTACTTGTAAAAATAATTATTCATAACCTTTGAAAGAGTTTCTCCTGAAAAGCTGAAAAAAAAAAGAAAAATCTTCCATTTCAGTACAGAACCACAACACTATTTGCAAGGCAAAAAGAACGAGACTTTTATGTCGACAATCATTACCACAAACATTCAAAATAGGCCTTTTTTTTGCCAAAAAAGAAACGCCATGATTTTATTTCATTGAGAGCAAGCTCAGGGCAAGAGGGCTTTGTAATGAGGACATAAAAATGGGACTATTAAAGTCTGCCTCTATGAGTAACTGAGGGCCCCAAAAGGCCGTTCTTTTCACTAATTAGTCCCCCCAGGAATCCACAATCACAGTTCAGTTTTAGTTGAACTGGGCAAACATGGAGGCTTCTCAGTGGAACCAGTCAAACAATGTAGTGCAAGGTTAACCCGCCCAAACACAATGTGCTACTGTGGACCAGTCTGTGAACCAGACTGCAGCAGTTTGTCTTTTCAACAACACACTCACACACACACACACACACACACACTTGTCCTTCTATCCTCATGGGGACTTTGCATTGACTTCTATTCATTTACCAGTAAAGTATATTACCTAACCCTCTTACTTAGTCCTAACCCACAAACAYTATTTTCCCTGATGGAGGCTGAGCTTTTGTCCATATAAAAATGAACAGCAGGTCCTCATAAGGCTGGCCAAAAATAGTCTTGACCAGGTAACATAAACATATGCGCGCGCACACACACACACACACACACACACACACACACACACACACACACGATTCCTTGCATTGAGCATTTCTCTACAGATGAATGCCATAACTCTGATTTTCACAAGAATCGCTTCAACTCTGGCTGCACTTGTATTCCTTGAAGGAACGCACGTTGTAGGGATTTATCCCACTTGGTGACCACTACAACATCGCCCACCACATTTTATACCAGAGCTTCATGATGAGAAGAAARGGATTCATCAGCATTTTGGTCAAACTCTGCAAAAGGACATTTACGCTAAATCTTGTGCAATATTCTGAGCTCTCCAGATGTAATGACCCTCAGCAGGTGTGTTGTGAACAACTAAAGGACTCCTACACCAAAACTCTGCCAAATATKTGTAGAATAGTTGAGCAAAATCTGAAAAAAAAAAAACCTGTCAATATTCATCACTTTGCAATTACTGCAATTAGCGTCATGGAACGATGGTTAGGGTTTCGCACTTTCACCATCATGTGCACATGTAAGCTAAATGGCAGAACGGAGAAGCTAATGCTAACTAACAGCAAACTCTCCTCCAGGAAATYATTGAAGCTGATCTAGCCAGTCGAGACACCATGAGGCTTTCATTCAATCTGATCCTTACGAGAAGCAAAGTCAGTGCTGGGAAGTGATAACAAGGGGAAGTTAGTTTGATGAAGTCTAAGTATAGTTTTAGAATACGGGGTAACTGATCCAAGCCTGCAAGTGCAGATGTCATCCATTAGTGGTCAAATTATTCACTACCGGTTAAATCCCACAATTAATCTTGATTAATAGTTTTGCTGATATTCCTAAACCCTACTGTAGAGCTGACTGTCCAAAACCCTTTGTTGACCGCGTAGACCAGAAGAGAGACTGAATTTGGASGGTCTAGCCTTCAGCTTTAATCCTGCCCTTACCCCAGGGCATGTCCTGTCACCTCGCAACCATAGCAATGCTAAACTGAAGCAAAAAATACATCGAAATTAGCCAAATATAATTTAAAAAGGAATTAACAAAATTAGAGGCAATACTTGAACAACTAAGAAACCGTCATACAAACTCGTTTTGATTTCAGACGAGAATATTTTAAAACCRGTCTATGTAAATGACAAAAACCTAAACACCACAACCACTTTAAATTTTTATTTGTATACCACCAGATTTTATTYAAACTGAACTCCTGTTTCTCYCTTCGTCCACCATTACTAGCAAAAGTAAAATAAAATTTCCCGGTTGATCTGCAATGCATCTTGAGATAGGGTGGAGAGGGATATACCTGACCAGTCCCTTAAATCAGAGCAAAAAAAAACAAACAACTAAACTAAACAAAACAAAACACATTTGTGAGCCCAGTTTGAGGAGCCTTCGAATTTAGACATCCTTTGGTGCAGCGCAGTGACGTAAGCAGCCGWCAAATTCCACCTTTGAATGATCCGGTCCCTGAATTTACACACAACCTGCATTACAGACAAACTTGTGTTTAAAGGTCAGTTGGTCATGGCAGATTTCAAACCGAGTTACCTAGAATCAGTCTCAATCACGCCAAATTGTTGCTCATCATCTGTAAAACTGACAAAGTTACAGTGTTTCTGTTTTATAGCAAGTTTCCCATAGAGCGAATCAGTTTAAACAAAACAACAACAACAAAAAGAGAAGATAATCAGCTGTAGATGTACATGCAATAACTGCTTTTTGCAAGTTTCATTAAAATCCTTATTTTGCAACAGGCACACAAAAAAATCCCACCAGGATTAAAAAAATTACAATAAATGTTGCTAAATCACTGAAAGTTTGTGATTAAAACAATCATACCCAGTCAGATATGATTTTTTAATAGTAGAGCCTTAGTTGTAGCTTCTCAAAGACTCCAAGCATGTAACAATTTATTAAGAACTTTAAATATTTTATAAATCAGTTAAAGAAAAAAAGGTATTAGTTTCTGCCTGATTAAAAAAAACGAATAATAAAAAAATAAATTGCATGCAAGATGCTTCCTCTTCCTAAAGAGATAAAAGCAGCGCTGCACAGCAGGAAACACTTGATGAACAGTTTGACTTTGCTGCCTCGCTTTCAACAAATTGTRTTTTTTTACATGAAAGCAGGAGATTCGTTCTAATTTTGAGAGGAGCAAGTCCTTGTGCAAACATTTCCACACACTCGCAGCGGCACTAACGATAAATAGCAGCCATGTATGGATTGTGGAAGCCCATTATCCTGCTGCCTGTAGCCGCGGATATCAGCGAAACCACATTTACGTTGGAACTTGGCACAAGGAGGAGCGCATGAAACAATTTGAGAATCAGCATGCCTTGCTGCACTTCTATCAAACACACACACACACACACAGCTCATCATTGTTCACCATCCTTTCATCTGTCAGTGCAGGAAAATAGACGGGTAAAATTGGCATGGGCTCCCTGCCAAGAGAGCGCTGGACAAAAAAAAAAAAAAATTCTCATGATGATCTACTCCGACACACAAGTGACATTAATGGTTCCATTTAGGCTTGATTGACACCCTGCATCTACAGCCCATATGTTACATTCACTGGTTCTGGTTGGAGGAAGACAAACGTCTGAAATGATTTGGCAGAAGCTGGATGAAATATTTAGAGAATGTTTTGCTTTTGGGGGAAAAAAACAAAAAGACTCACTTCCTCCWAAAAGTGTGCCGGAGCAGAGTTGAGCTAATTATGTGTGGCGCAGGAGCGTGCAGAAACCTCTTCTGCAGGTTGGGTTRGGCCCTTACAGGCGGACATTAGGAKGTGACACATAATCAGCCTGTTCTTTAGGATCTGTGCAAATGCTGAGTCAGCATTCATACTGTCTTTTCTTTCTGTTTGTTTTCTTGCAAACTACACCTGTAAACTTTGTGCTACTTTAGCTCTAGATATTTCACTTCATTTTCAAACATTTTTCATCYTAAAAATGCACTGGAATTGATTTAATTCCTTCAAATACATTTTTTTAAGACTTGATTCTCATGCTGCTTCTAGCTTTTTAGCTTAAGATTTGAAAATGAAAGCCAGGCAACCTTTTGCATCTTTCGACTTTTTGAAGGGATCCCCAATTAGTTGTAACATTAGACTTGGGTTGGGCAATATTGGCAAAAAAATAATAATCACGATTAATTGTGGTATTTAGCCGATAATGATTAATTTGACGATTTATCCCTTGGAGTCCCTGGACACCCTTATGTTCTAGTCACATGACCAATTTAGAAAAGATTTGCTCTTCGTAAAAATCTGCTTCAATTTGTGTCAAAATTACAGACTTCAGGCTGTACATCTTAAATTGTGTTGTTAGATAAATAAATTACAGATATTTTTTAAAATGTTTGTCATATTTGAAGTGGAGAGGAACACCGAGCAGACTCTGCTTGGTTGCATTAATCGTATTAATGTCAAGTGCCAAAAAATAATCAATTGTTTTTCTGACGATTAATCACACACGATACGATTATGCCCAACCCTACATTAGACTTTATATGATAAACATATACTTTAACTGTAAAATAAAGACTGTAA